AAAAGGGTTCCCTCCTAGGTCCCCCAGTAGTGCCCTTTAAACCCTTTTTGGTGGAGGGTTCCCCTACTAAAATAGACTACAGAAAAAAGGGTACCCTTATTCTCACCTCTCTACTGGAGGACCTAGCCTCAAATGACACACCCAGTTTGGAATGACGGTAGCATTTGCCGATCTTCATCATCAAGCTCTGTTATTTTCAAGCGCCGGCCACGCTGCCACCAGAGTTTGAACCGTTTGGGCCAAAGTCTAACACACCGCAAAGCGTGACATATATAGGACAAATATGTACGAGCGGAACTCCAACCTTTCCAAAGGTCCAGCTATTTGTAGGTTCCGCTTGGTAATTTCCCTGGTCATGTACCCGGGATACCAACTGTGGATGGACAAAAATCTGCACAAGTTCGGATGGTTGAACTGGTGGACCAACCACCAATCCCAGCAGGAGCCACAGGGGTTTTACGGTTGTGATCTTGAATTCCGAAATATTCCGAATACCTTCAAACTGGCTGACATGGGACAGGGTTTCCTCCATTTCCCTTTTTGGAACCTCCAAAAGCGGCAGTTTCAAGGGGAGACCACCAGTAGATTGATCAACCTTTGACGGGGAAATCCAGTGTCCCCTGATGGCACCCAATACCACCAAAAGCAACCCCACAATCCACAGGATCTGTTTTGCTTCTTTTTTTCTGTGAGGCAACCAGCTTGTTTCAACTCGTCCCGGATGAAGCATGGGCGTGAACCGGTTGCTGACAGCCATTTGAAAAGGCCCCATATGCGCAGCACACACAGCATAGGAGCAGCTGAACCAGCTGAACCCCGGCTACCGCTAAAAGTGGCTGGCAACCAGCAATCGTGCGTTTGGTTTGTAGCGGCTGATTCCTTTTGGTTGCTATTGGGTTGGATCTTTAGACTTTAACTTTTGGGGAAATCAAGGCGTTTTCCACTAAACCCCCCAAAAGTTAAACTTTTTGCAGGGGGGGTCAACAGCAACCAAGGTTCCTTTTGGTTGCCTGCACAACCAGGTAAACGGAATTGGGTGTAGCAGCCCAGACCAAAAGCCCTCGAGCCGTAAAATCAGACGCAAAGTTTGACGGGCCATGGTCGAAGCGCCATGAGGCCCTCATAGGGGTTTGGCCGCTTGTTGAAACGCGCTGAACGCGCGCAAAATGGGCTTGGCCTCAAAATAGGGACCATCAAAACTTGTGGTTTTCCATTTGTCCCCCTTTAACAAGCACCCGAAAGAGGGTACCACCAAAAAAGCCGAGCCGCCTAAATGTGGTTTCGTTTTGAACCTAGCCCGAAAAGAGCCGTTGTTTACAGGAGTTTCTTGCAGTGAACTTGGGGTTCTCAAAATCAGTTTTTAAAATGTGTGTTGTTGTTTTTTTGGGGAGGGGTGTGACACCCTTTGGGTGTGTCTTTCTTTGAGGGTACCTCATGCTTCAGGAAACTACACATTGGGCCCTGATTCAACACTTATCCCATTTTGCGGTGTTAGGGTGCTCTCCGGTCTTTGCCGTGGAGGGAGATGGTCCCAAAGACATTTTTTCTTCCATTTGCTTAGCAATATGTTTTATGTTGCTCTCTTGTTGTTATCAAGCCTGGACTATTATATGTCCTTTCCAGAGGACTTAGGCAAATGGATCCTGCGTCTTCCAGGAACGCCCTTGCCAGGTTCCATGTTGATGGGGGGTACCAGAGCCATGTATGCCATGGGCAAGAACCGGGGTTCCTTGCCGGGGTTAACGTTGGGATGATTCACCTGGTAAGGATCCTTAGCCATTACTCACTTGTTCAGTGGCACCATTTTTTTCCTCTGTTGTTTTGGTGGCTTTTTCCCACTAAAAATTATCTTCCCAAAAAAGCGCTCCCTATTTTTTCAGGGTCACTGAACAACTGTGATTACAAAAGCCATGGCCCAATGGGCCAAACCAACGGGAGCTTTGATGGCCCATATGTCCATTGCGAAGGAGCGAGATCTCTAAATTTCAAGCACACGCCTTGAACTCGCGTGCCCGATTTCCCTCTAGGCATGTGGCAAGACCCTGAAAGGAATCCAAGCATGCGTGCTTCAAACACACAAAGGGTCAGTCTTTTGGTTTCTGGTTTGGGGGCAGAAAGGGGACCCAGATGATCCAGATGTTTCGACCAGAGTTCAGGTTGCATTTCCAATGTGCACCAAATTGGCAACGAGAGGCTCGTCTGGAGCGGGCCCACGAGTCTCTAGAAGTCCTCATGCATTTTGTGTTGACATCACAAGGAGGCCTCAAGTGGTTTGGCCCATAACGTGGGAGCGTAACATGAGTGGCACAAGATCAGCTTCCCACCAGTAAGACGTCTTCTGAACCAAATCTGGTTTCATATTCATCCCCCCGGGTGTCCTACTGTGGATGGACCACCACCCAAGAAACCCTAGAATGATGATCCCCCTGTCAATACCAACAAACAATGGTTTCCCATGTTATCAAAGTGGTGCGAAATGGATTTCGTCCATCCAACGCAAAGGCTCCGTTTGGTTCTCTTTGAACGGAAGGCTCCACGTCTCTGCTCGAGGCGCGTGCTTCGCTGCTTCTCCCTCGCGGTGCCACGAAGGTGGGGGCGGAGGAGCGAGCGGGAAGTGCCTCCAAAGCATCGGACGGGTTTTCTGGGCTCAAAATTAAATAGGGGGGGCAAACCGCGGGTTTTGGTCCATGTGTCCACTTACCAGGGTTCCATCTTGGAATTCCGGTTTTTTGAGCCACAGCCAAATGTACCATTTGTTTGTGGCGGCTTGAAAGGAAAACCAAGAGGAAAACAAAACGGATTTCCCCAAAAAGGATAATTTTGGTGCCGGTTTTTTGAGCCACAGCCAAATGTACCATGTTTTTGTGGCGGCTTGAAAGGAAAACCAAGAGGAAAACCAGGAATTCCCCCAAAAAAGGTTAGGACACCCTCATGGTGTCCTAAGATTGAGTTGTTAGATCTATATATTTTGGTGGTTTGGATTGGTGGTTTGAAAGGGGTGGAGGGTGATTGGGAAACCACAAATCCAAACCACCAACTAGGGGAAGCTGAGTAATTAAAACCAGACTGTGGATGGTTGCGAAACCAATGTTGGACTCGTTCAGAACAAAACATAATGATTGGACTTCCCTGAAATACCAACACACGTTATGGTTAGTGTCAGCTAGAGTGTCAAAGTTGGAAATTGATTGCGTCCATCCACAAGATGAATACTCAGTTCCTAGCTGGTGGCTGGAAGGGAGCCGGACGAAGGGAGCTGTGGCCCGGTATCCGATGTTTTGCTTTCAAAGAGGGAGCCGGAGCTACCGCTCGGAGTTCACCTTCCGGCTTTTTTTTTCTCACGTGGGACGGGCAATACGGGCATCTTCTCGTGAGAGAAATCGGTTTCGAGGGCTTCAAAGAGAAACCCAGGGCTCGCTCCCCTCAAACTAGCTTGGTCTACCAACCATCTGGACCCCCAAAATTGCCAGTACTGAAACATCTGCGATTGCCCCCAACAATTAAAGAGGTGAATTCCATAGCTTTCTGGGTAGCTTGAGGGTTCAATGGCAGCACTTGGTTTGCGGGCCGGGATCCGCTTTCCAGTGTGAATCATCAGGTTTGGAGCCCGGTGGCTTGGGTTTTTTGAATTTGAACGGGTCCCTGGCTCTTGTTGAGAAACCACCAACCCTAACCACCAAACCACCAAACAAAGGGGCTAACACCGAAGCGCCATTGACTGACTGACGGTTTGACTTGTTTTTCTTTTTTTTTGTGTGTGTGTGTGTGTTTGTTTTCTGTGTGGTTTAGGTTGTTTGTGGTGTTGCTTGCTTGTCTGTTTGGTTGTTTAAGGGTTGTTTTTGCTTGTTTCTTTGGTTGTCTGGGCTGTTCGCATAGCTGTTGGTCTGCTGTTTTTTTTTTGGGCTATCCCCGGACCCTTTCTGGCGGTGTTGGACTTAGGGATCGGATCAGCGGTTCCAGTGCCCTCGTTGCCGCTTTGGGATGGATCCACCTGTGGCTCAAAATTAAACGATCGGAGGGGTTAATTCCGCGGGTTTTGGTCCATCCACTTACCAGGGTAACCCATTTTTGGAATTCCGGTTTTTAGAGCCACAGCCACCTTGGGACGGAATGGACCCCTTTAGCTTTGGAGCAACTTGAAGCACTCTGATTTTTCCGCATGGCAATAGGGATCGAACTGTGCCAGGCAAGGGTGTTTGGGTTTGTGAAACAAAAATGCAAGAGGAAGTCTCTTTGTTGCAGGATTCCTTTGGACTGGCAGGCACCTTGATTCCGGAAGCCCTTTGCGACACCATGTGGGCTTTGGGGCTCATGAATGAGAACAACATAAGGGGCCAAATGATTTGGGGAGCAGCAAAATGTTTAGCCCCTTCAAACAGCTCAGTCAAGCAGTGGTCCCGTCGATTCAGCGAGCATGCCTGACTCATCTCCGCTCGCCTTCCTGCTCAGCCTGCAGGGCTTTGGGGCGTCGGGTTTTGTTTAGCGGCCGCGGCACAAGTTCGGTTCGGGGCCCCCGTTTGGGATGGGGTTGACGGCAGTTCCCAAGACTGTTGCCACTTTGGCGGTCCACAGCACGCGAAATGTGGTTGCACATTTGACACCCGCCCGACGTGACACTCACACAAGACAAGGCTCTCACTTGCCCAAAGCCGACTTCTAAACATTCTAACCTTTTGGCCCCCCTGGTTTGGTCCATATTTTGGTTTCCCTGGTTTGGGCCATATTTCGACAAGGTTCCAAAAGGTTAACCTTTCATTGCTGGGTTCTTTGAGCTGGGAAGAGGTTGGTACCTTGGCCGACCCTTTCAGCTTTCAGGTGACCCCTCACGCCCACCAGTCTTGTCAGAAGTATTGTTCGGCTCCAACTTTTCGTACGAATCCCTAGGTTACTTCTATACAGGTCATGCGCCTTATAAATTGGATTCCGCAGCCTCTTGAATCCAATCAAGGTATTTGGTGATTCATTTGGCCAAATTGGAACCCAGTCATCAGATCAGACAAAGAAGAAGGCTCTCCTCCGGTCGCGCCGGGGCCATGCGTGCGGCGTTCTGAACGGCCGGCGCGGCTGGGAGAGGCCTGGCCGAGTTGAGTTGGCAAACCAACTTGCAGGTTTCATCAAGGTTTGCAAGGTTTACACGCATAGGTGTCCTTTTGATCGGTTGGTTTGGTTCAAAATAGATGGGTTCCACTGGTTTAGATGGTTTTCTGCCTCGTTTACCAGGGAAAAACCCATCGATATTTTCCAAAAGCTCACCTATGTTTACAAGTCAGGAACATTTTGATGAGACGATGTTCCGTTTGCTCGCCACAAAACGAGCGCACGATGTCGGCGCCGGACGCAAACAAATCGGCGCCAAGTCCTGAGGTCAGGGAAGGCAGCGATCCATCGATCCGATGGGTCTGCAGAGGGGTGTGCTCACGCGGATCTTGTACCCCGCCCCGGAGCCCAGCTATTCGGTGGACAGCTTCCCCGGGGAACTGGCCCCCTGGCAGAAGGCACTTTTTTTTTTTGTACGATAAATAAATAAACAAATAAATACATAAATAAGCGGAGATAACATGGGCCAATGGGTGTGGCTCAAAAAGAAGCTCCGGGAAGCCCGTGGGTTTTAAATGTTTGGTTTGTTTTTGGGGGACCCCCAGTTTTTGGTTCCTTTTCAAGCGACAATAACAATGCAGGGACAACGGCCATGTTTGAAGGTCGGGACGCCCAAGATTGGTGGGTTTCCTTTGGTGTCCTTTTACCGATCCAAAAAGAGCGCCCTGGTCTGAGACAATCCAAGTGGATGGCGAATTGGTGCCCTTGATTGATCTGGAGGGTTGATACTGTTGATGGATGAAATCCTGCACCACCTTGAAACCATGGGAAGCCATTGTTTGTTAGGTATTTAGAGGGGAATCATCATTCTAAAGTTTCTTCGGCGGTGCGAAATGGATTTCGCAACCATCCACAGTATCAAGGTGGCTGAACATTTCTCCTCAAGTCATCGCACCCCAAAGGGAAACTCGCCTGTATTGCCAAAGGACGTCTGGGACACTGTTGAAACGGGAGCGAAATCGGTGAGGGATGGTGTGCAGAGCTCACCCGGGAGGCTTCCAGAGATTTCCGGTATGTTCTGAAAGGGACTATGTCTCTGGTTCCAAAGGAACGCCCTGGGGTTCAAGCCGCCATTCAAACAACGGGGGGTTTATTATATAACCACCATGATGTACCTAAGGATTGTCATCATCCAAATAGGGTCCCAATGCCATTCTCTTAATTGGGGTTGAACTGCAGGGAAAGGGGGGCTAACCGAAATTCACAAGTCCGAGGTTTGGGTACCTAAGAAGAGTTCCCTAGACGGCGACGCCCCGGGGTTCGGTGTGGACTCCGTGCCGTGCCTGCTGCTCAAGTACCCTTACAGCGCCTTGGAGAAGGGTCACGTGGTCTATGGTCCATTTTGCGAGGAGCATGTTTTTTCTTGCTCTTCTTCTTGTTGCTGTTCTGTTCTTCTGCCTCTTTTTGAAAATCCTACTTCTGCTTCTTCTTCTTCCCGGTTTTCTTCCCCTTTGTCTGTCCCTTTCCTCCCTTTCTCAGTTTCCCCTCCTTCTTGACACCTGCGCTTCTCTTTTCGAGGCCGTTTCCTGGTGCTCTTCTTCCACTCCAACGCGGAGGACCTGGGGAGGTGCTACTCCTTCTGCCAGCAGCTCAGGGACAAGTTCCAGGTCCATGTGCTGGCGGTGGAGTACCCCGGCTACGGCGTCTGCCCAGGCGCGGGCGCGATGCGGAGAACATGGGGTCTCCTCCAAGTAAGAGCTGTTGGGTCCCAAGACACGGGGTCGGACCCTGCTGAATGTGAAGGATGGTTGATCTTGGGTCCAATTGTGGAGTCCCAATTCGGGCAGAACTTACAGGAACCAGCCATTTGGGTATGTGTGAACCAAGGTGAAAAAGGGTACTTTCAATAAAGCGTCAAGCATGCTTTTTGGTCTTCCTTCCGCTTGCCCTTCAAAACCACCCAACAACAAGTACCTTTCGCCTCAAAAGAGTGCTCCGTTTCGGCCTGAAGACGTGAGAAAAGGCTATGTCCACGGCTACGGCGGCTCTTCCTACGGCCACACCTAGAAATCCGCACCGCGGGGCTCTTAAAGCCCATAGGTGCAAGAGCACGGCCCCGTGCTCCATTTGCACGGCAAATGCGTTCTCTCCACTGGTGGTTGATTCATAAGTTCATAGGTCACAGGTCGGGTTGCTTTCTTTGTTTTGCGAGAACAAATCAACAGGCATTTCTCCTTTTGCAGGCCCCTTTCAAAGTGCTCTTTCATTCTTTGGCCTGCCAAAAGTCCCACATAGCCTGTCCTGAGATAGGATATTGCCCCAAGCAAATGAGGTGATTTCCCTTTGTTAAGAGTAGTTTGAGTTTCTAGGTCCTTTATTTGAATTTTCCTCCTTTCTCGCCCTTGCGATGCACCTACCCCCACTTGGGTCTTTGATTCGCCAAGTTATGTCACTTGTAAGTCCCCCGTCCATCCCGCTGAGCCTTGCTCTTGCGGGGTGAACAAAAACCCAATGGCGATCACTACTTGCTATCTATCCAAAATAGTCTGTCACAAGTGTCTATAGTTTTCTGAAACTGTTCTTTGGTTCTTCCCCTTTCTCGCCCTTTCTGCGGTTTCACGCCTCTACCCCCCACCACCAGCCAGTCCATCCATCCAGCGCACGTCTCCCCCGTCTCCCCCAGCCCCCAGCCCCCCAGACCCCCCGAGCGCCAGGGGTGGCCACGGGCAAAAGCGTCACGGAGAACGCCCTGTCGGCGCTGCACTTCGCCACCCAGAGCTTGAGCTGGCCCTTGGACAGCATCAAGATCTTCGGCAGGCGACTCGGTTTGGCGGCGCGCTTGGCGCGCGGTGCTTGGACGCGTGGCGTTTGGCGCTGGCTTCGCGCGGACGGCCAAATATGTCAACGGGGAGGAGCATAACAGCGGAATGTGGTTCCTCCATGGCTAGCTGGTTGGATTGGAGCTGGGGGTGCATGGCTGAACGAAGGGAGCTGGGGGGATACAAACTTGCTTTCAAGGAGGGAGCGGATGAGAGAGCTACCGATCGGAGTTCTGGTTGGGGGACATGGTGGATTCAACAAATGAAACCGCCTCTGCATGGGTCTATGGGGGTGTCTTGGAATAGAGGGGAGAGGGGGAAAAGAAATGTTGGATGGGCTTAAACTCGGCGTTTCTGATGGAGTCCTTATATGGATATGTGTGCGTGCGTGGTGGGAGTCGCGGTACCTGTTCTAAGGTGGGTTCAAAGGGGGAACCAAAATGAACACTAATTATGTTTAGGATTCCCCTATTTTAACGTATATCCATATTGCAGGAGTCAAGGACAGAGATCCATTCAACACACCTGGGTTCAGTAGGGTTTGCGTTCTTTTCCCACTTCCGGTGGCTTTAAACATCACCCTTTCGGGCCAGAAGAGAAAAGGACATAGCAACTGGAGGTCTGGGCACATGATGCGTGACTGGTCAGTACTTGCTCGAGTATACGTGTCATCTACTTTGTGTTTTCAACCAGGCTGTCATCAGTTGGCTGCTAGGTTGGACTTTCTCCCCATCAACTTTTTGGGAACATGTCTGGTTCTCCACTAGCCAAAATGTTGGAGGCAGCCACATAGAGTCTCCATGACCCTTCAATATGGGGTCAGTACCCTAAATAATGGGGTCATGGGGACCTATTTTTAATTTGGGTCAGAAGGAGACTCCAGCCACATAGATCACATTCGAATGGATTTGTGTGAGTCTTCGCCGTGGGGTTTCCGAGGCTCCCCGACGATTCCGCAGTCTCCATGAGTCGTTCTCTGGGTCGGTGGGAAGTGCACGCACATATGGACGCATATTTCTGTGAACCTGCACATCATCATTATATATATATATATACACCTAGAGTCTCCATGACCATTTTAAAGTGCTGTCATCAATTACCCTAAGTAAGGGGGTCATGGCGGTCATGGACCTATTTTGAAAGGGTCATGGAGACTCCAGGTATACATATCGTGCACACATACACAAGTACACATATATATATATATATACACCTATATACTCACACAAGAATCAGAGACCAAAGACCACTTGTAGACATCACCCAGATGGGGTGCCGCGCGCAGGTCCATCGGCACAGGCCCAGCGATCAAGCTGGCGAGTGTCTCGGGTGGCAGTTTGGGTTTTGCAAGGCTCCCAGCTGGGTTACCTTGGCCCCAAGACGCCCCTAAGCCATCAGCAATATGGCTGTTGGTCAAAACCAATGAAATCCAATTTTGGGGGTAGGTGCACCACCCATTTTCGTCTATTTTATTGGGGATTGGGATGTTCACTGGGGGTACGATTTGGCTTTTGACCCATCAGCAATATATCCCAAAGCTTCCTGACCCAAATATACCTGGAGTCTCCATGACCCTTTACAAATAGGTCCATGACCCCATTGTTTAGGGTAATGACCAAATTGTTACACGGTCATGGAGACTCCAGGTAGACCCCGAACCTTCCTGAAAGAACCGAAGATCGAGGCCTGTTCCGCTTCGCCGGGGTGATTCTGGTGACGCCCTTCCTCTCCATCGCGGAGCTCTTCCGGGATCGCGTGGGCCCTTTGTCCAAGCTCGTGGAGGAAGCGAAATCGCTTTCGCGTTCGCTTGCGGTGAAGAGAGGAATGGGTCGGCCACCCTCAAAATACTCATAGAAAAAGGGGTGGTTACGTTGTTGCCCCAAAATGATGGTTGGTGAATGTATTTTTTTACGGGTAGTTTGTGGGTCCAGGTGTCTTTTTTGCGGATTGGCTTTTGGAGCGGTTGTGAAAGGGAAGCCGAAGCCACGTTGAGGAGGTTCCCTGAAATAAGGACATAAATTAAAATGGAATCGACTTTGCTCGACTTTGCGGTGATTTCCAGGCCGATCGGCCGAAGACTCGCCCCGAAGTCTGCTCTTTGATGCTAAAAAAAACCCGAGATGTGACGGGTCCAAAGGTCAGAAGCTCATGGAAGCTCTACCTGGACCCGGAAACTACCTGGAGTCTCCATGACACTTTAAAGATGGGGTCATTACCCTAAATAATGGGACGTCATGGTTATTTTTAGGGAGCGCATGAGGGAGCTACCGATCGGAGTTCTGGTGAAGGACATGGTAGTTGTATTTCTGACTAAAGGGTCCTTGAATAAGCATGTGTCCCATTTATCCAAAGGGAAGATGGTAGAAAGGTCCACTTTGGATATGTGAAAGGGATTCGGACCACCCACCAGTGCGGGCCAGTGTGGGGGGTCCTTCTGGTTTCCTGTCAAGACAACTTGAACTGGGTACCTTTCGCCTCAACAAAGACACTCCTGCAAGGGTCTGTGTTTCTTGGTCTCTGGACCTTCTACCGTAAAAAAAGGGGGCTCATCATTGCAACCCAACAAGTTATGGCTGGATTTCCCTTTTGTTAGGTTGGCAGTTCTTCCGGGCTTTTGGTCCATCCGTTTTTGACCGGTTTTCGGAAGGAGTGGTACCCCAACGGGGACCTCGTTGGCAAGGTGGGGTCACCGGTTCTCATCATCCACGGCAAGTCGGATGACATGAGCCTCAGATTTGCAGTTGTGTGCGCGCATTTTCTAGCAGGTTGGAAGAGGGAGCCGGACGAAGGAGCTGGGACCCATTTCGGGGGGGGGTTAACGAAAATCCAGATGTCGACATTGCGGTGATTCCCTCAAAGGACCGCTTCATCTTACCAGCCCAACCACCGCCCCGGAGCCCCACTCAGAGGTGGTGTCCTTGGTCCTTTCCTTTGAACCAACCCCAGACTGGGTTCCCTCGAAAAGACAGACCCAGACTTAAAAATGGACGATTTCCTCTTCCATTTGCTGAAGCGACCATGTATGTTTTTCCCCGGCTGGGTTTTAAAGGGAATCTATCACCACTGGACATATGTGGTCCAGGGGACTTAAGCAAATCGAGGTGTTGGTTCCTTTTGGTTTTGCTCTAAAACCATTCAGAGGGCTAGCTGAAGATGGGGAAGCCGATTCAAGTCTGCAGCTCCTCATGGATAGCCTGTCCAGCTTTTTTTGCTGGCATTTTGGTGGTCAATTGGAGGCCAACCATCATTCTGATCTATAAATGCGCGTGTCTTTTCTTGAGGATACCCCTTGTGGGGTTGGTTCAAAGGGAAGCCAAGAAAAAACAAAGGACGTGGGCTCCCTGTTTGACAGATACCCCAACGCTGGATCCCTGCTCTTGATGAGATGGGTGCGACCACCTTCCCTTGAGCTGCGCATGGTTTGGAAAGATGCCGGACACCTTTCGAGCGCCCGGCCATTTGATTAGATGGTCAATGGTTCTGCTACATCAGTTTGTTTTTGTGTTTTCTTTTTCTGGGGGACACCCTTTTTGCGGGTGGTTTTAAAGGGAAGCCAAAAGGAACACCACCATTCTTGTAGGGGGTGTGGGTCCGATTCCTAGAACAAGAGGAGCCACCGACATGGTTTCAAGGGGTTCATACCAAACCCTTCTCAATCCTCCAGTGCCCTGTGTTTTTTTTGGAGGGGCATCGCCTGAAAAAGCCACCAACAAAACACGGTTTCCCATGGCTGGGGGTAAGGGAACACACACACACACGGGTTGCTAGGAAGACCAAAAGGAAGCCACCCATGTTCCCCCCAAAGCTGGAGGCTATGGCTAGAGACGCCGTGCCGTGGAGCTATCTGGGCTAGTCCACCAGTTGCATGGCACCCATCTTCTCCTTGTGTGCGTCGGAGCGGGACAAGTTGGGGCGACCTTTTTTTGGCAAACGCCGAGTCTTCCTTTGATTTAAGCTGGAGTGCATATGGTTGCGCATGTTCCCCTGTTGGTTGTTCAAGAACATCTATGACTGGACATAGTTGCTTTCAATTTATTCTGGGGGAGTATCAACAAATGGAGGCAGCGCATTCGTTTCGGCACCCCATAAAATCGTCGTTCGGATAAATCAATATGTATATATATATACATATACCTAGAGTCTCCATGACCCTTTAAAGATAGGTCCATGACCCCAATATTTAGGTGGAGACTCTAGGTATGTATTATGTACACACGAAGAAATCAACAAACAAGCAAAGCACATTTAGGCAAACAAGAATACGATCCCAAGGATCGCGTACCGCCACGCGGAGAGCCTCTTCGATCGGATCTCCACGCGGAAGCTGCTGGTCAGCCCGCCCAACATGGCGCACAATACCAACCTCATGAACGAGTCTCGCAGAAATGGGTATGGGTCAAAATGAAACCACCAGGACAGCAGGTTTGAGTCAACTTTTCCATTTACCAGGGTTCCATTTTGGGTACCTATTTTTGACCCGCACCCAAATATGACCATGAGGTTGTATGCTTTTGTTTCCCCCTGTTGGTTTCAAGGGGATCTACTGTGGATGGTTCCGAAATCCATTTCGCACCACTTTGAAACCATGGGAAACTATTGTTTGTTGGTATTTACTGGGGATTCATCATTCTAGGGCTTCTTGGGCGGTGCAGGATTTGGTCCATCCACAGTATTACCTGAGGTGTCTCGTTTTTGGAGAGTACTGGTATTTGTTTTTGTGGGGTGGTGTATAGAGGGAAAAAAGGGAAAGCAACCCATTTGGTGGGGGGTGCCCCTATTTTGAGGTACGATTCAAGTGCGACCTCAGTTGCCCGAAGAGAATCGACCTTGTGACTTGTTGGTCCTGGGTTGGCGCAGTTGTTGTCAATCACGAAATGTTGACCAATTTTATTTCGGGGTCCTTTGGGCAGGTGAGCCACCGAACTTGCTGCGTTCATAAATTCTTCCCATGCAGGTTTCTCCGAGACTTCTTAGAAGGGGTTCAGATTGAAGGGAACCTTTCTGCAGGGGTGGGGGGTGGGGGGCTCAAATATTTCTTCCTAGTTTTATCACATTTACAACTGTTTATTTATTATCCGAAAAAGACAACCAGGCCCATTGCTGCGACCCAAGCGTGTTTTCATTCGCCATTCAAAGGGCTGGAATCGACTGATTGGTGGAGGCGGAATCCATGTTGGGTGGTGTAAAGGGAAACCAAGAGAAAGCGGAATCCATTGTTGGGCTCGCATATGAGTTCCCCGAGATTCGGAACCCAAGTGTTTCCCGAGGTCAATTAATTTGGGCACGGATAAACAGTATCCGGGCAAGCCGACCACCAGAAAAGTCAAGGTCTCCGTGCTCCTCAGTCAGGTCCCTCATGAGTTGTTGAGAGTACCTGGACGGTAGTTTAAGGGTCCAGGTACCCCGTTTTGGGTTGTGGAGGGGACTCGAATTGACAATGGCTCACGTGGAGATAGGGGTGTCTTTTGGCGATCCAGAATGTCCAAGAACATGGGTTTGTTTCAAGTGGCAGAAGCCCAAAGCGAAACAACAGGGGTGCCGCAGTGAAAAAAATAATTCAACCACCGTTGAATGGGGGGTGATCAATATTCCTGACCAAATGACCATGGGCAGCTCTTCCGATTTAGTGGGAATTTCCTTGGTCATTCCACGTAAAGGACCGTTTGATCAACCCCCGAATCCGAACTCAGGATCTGAGTTTCTTGGTAATGCCGGCGACCCACTTCTTCTCCCTGCCGGACTACATCTTTCAAGACCTGAGGCCCGATGAAACCGGGTGGTCGAAATGAATTGGCTGTGGCTTTCTTTTTGTTGAAAGAAAAGGTACCCTTTTGGGGGTTGGTTGAAACTACCCTTTTGGGGGTTGATTTAAACTACCCTTTTGGGGGTTGGTTGAAACTACCCTTTTGGGGGTTGGCTTAAACTACCCTTTTGGGGGTTGGTTTAAACTACCCTTTTGGGGGTTGGTTTAAACTACCCTTTTGGGGGTTGGTTTAAACTACCCTTTTCAAAGTTGGTTTAAACTACCCTTTTGGGGGTTGGTTGAAACTACCCTTTTGGGGGTTGGTTTAAACTACCCTTTTGGGGGTTGGTTTAAACTACCCTTTTGGGGGTTGGTTTAAACTACCCTTTTGGGGGTTGGTTTAAACTACCCTTTTGGGGGTTGGTTTAAACTACCCTTTTGGGGGTTGGTTTAAACTACCCTTTTGGGGGTTGGTTTAAACTACCCTTTTGGGGGTTGGTTTAAACTACCCTTACCCTTTGGGGGTTGGTTTAAACTACCCTTTTGGGGGTTGGTTTAAACTACCCTTTTGGGGTTGGTTTAAGCTACCCTTTTGGGGGTGGTTTAAACTACCCTTTGGGGGGTTGGTTGGTTTAACCTACCCTTTTGGGGGTTGGTTGAAACTACCCTTTTGGGGGGTTTGGGTTGTTGAAACTACCCTTTTGGGTTGGTTTAAACTACCCTTTGTGGGGTTGGTTTAAACTACCCTTTTGGGGGTTGGTTTAAACTACCCCTTTTGGGGTTGGTTAAACCCTTTGGGGGTTTGGCTACCCTTTTGGGGGTTGGTTTAAACTACCCTTTTGGGGGTTGGTTTAAACTACCCTTTTGGGGGTTGGTTTAAACTACCCTTTTGGGGGTTGGTTAAACTACCCTTTTGGGGGTTGGTTTAAACTACCCTTTTGGGGTTGTTTTAAGCTACCCTTTTGGGGGTTGTTTTAAACTACCCTTTTGGGGGTTGGTTTAAACTACCCTTTTGGGGGTTGGTTTAAACTACCCTTTTGGGGGTTGGTTTAAACTACCCTTTTGGGGGTTGGTTTAAACTACCCTTTTGGGGGTTGGTTTAAACTACCCTTTTGGGGGTTGGTTGGTTTAAACTACCCTTTTGGGGGTTGGTTGGTTTAAACTACCCTTTTGGGGGTTGGTTGGTTTAAAACTACCCTTTTGGGGGTTGGTTGGTTTAAACTACCCTTTTGGGGGTTGGTTTTTAAACTACCCTTTTGGGGTTGGTTGGTTTAAACTACCCTTTTTGGGGGTTGGTTGGTTTAAACTACCCTTTTGCGGGTTGGTTGGTTTAAACTACCCTTTCAGGTTGGTTGGTTTAAACTACCCTTTTGGGGGTTGGTTGGTTTAAACTACCCTTTTGGGGTTGGTTTAAACTACCCTTTTGGGGTTGGTTGGTTGGTTTAAACTACCCTTTTGGGGGTTGGTTGGGGGTTGGTTTAAACTACCCTTTTGGGGGTTTAAACTACCCTTTTGGGTTGGTTTAAACTACCCTTTTGGGGGTTGGTTTAAACTACCCTTTTGGGGGTTGGTACCCTTTTGGGGGTTGGTTTAAACTACCCTTTTGGGGGTTGGTTTAAACTACCCTTTTGGGGGTTGGTTTAAACTACCCTTTTGGGGGTTGGTTTAAACTACCCTTTTGGGGGTTGGTTGGTTTAAACTACCCTTTTGGGGGTTGGTTGGTTTAAACTACCCTTTTGGGGGTTGGTTGGTTTAAACTACCCTTTTGCGGGTTGGTTGGTTTAAACTATCCTTTTGGGGGTTGGTTGGTTTAAACTACCCTTTTGGGGGTTGGTTGGTTTAAACTACCCTTTTGGGGGTTGGTTGGTTGGTTTAAACTACCCTTTTGGGGGTTGGTTGGTTGGTTTAAACTACCCTTTTGGGGGTTGGTTGGTTTAAACTACCCTTTTGGGGGTTGGTTGGTTTAAACTACCCTTTTGGGGGTTGGTTTAAACTACCCTTTTGGGGGTTGGTTTAAACTACCCTTTTGGGGGTTGGTTTAAACTACCCTTTTGGGGGTTGGTTTAAACTACCCTTTTGGGGGTTGGTTTAAACTACCCTTTTGGGGGTTGGTTTAAACTACCCTTTTGGGGGTTGGTTTAAACTACCCTTTTGGGGGTTGGCTTAAACTACCCTTTTGGGGGTTAGTTGGTTTCAACTACCCTTTTGGGGGTTGGTTTAAACTACCCTTTTGGGAGTTAGTTTAAACTACCCTTTTGGGGAGTTAGTTTAAACTACCCTTTTGGGGTTAGTTTAAACTACCCTTTGAGGGGATTGGTTTAAACTACCCTTTTGCAGGGGGTTGGTTTAAACTACCCTTTTGTGGGGAGTTGGTTTAAACTACCCTTTGTGGGGTTAGTTTAAACTACCCTTTTTGAGGTGGTTTAAACTACCCTTTTGGGGGTTGGTTTAAACTACCCTTTGGGGATTGGTTTAAACTACCCTTTTTGGGGTTAGTTTAAACTACCCTTTTTGAGGTTGGTTCAGAAAACTACCCTTTTTGGGGGTTGGTTTAAACTACCGCTTTTGGGGAGTTAGTTTAAACTACCCTTTTTAGGGTTCTGGGGATATACCCTTTGAAGGGTGGATTTAAACTACCCTTTTGGGGGTTGGTTTAAACTACCCTTTTGGGGGTTGGTTTTTGGGGGTTGGTTTAAACTACCCTTTTGGGGGTTGGTTTAAACTACCCTTTTGGGGGTTGGTTTAAACTACCCTTTTGGGGGTTGGTTTAAACTACCCTTTTGGGGGTTGGTTGGTTTAAACTACCCTTTTGGGGGTTGGTTGGTTTAAACTACCCTTTTGGGGGTTGGTTGGTTTAAACTACCCTTTTGGGGGTTGGTTTAAACTACCCTTTTGGGGGTTGGTTTAAACTACCCTTTTGGGGGTTGGTTTAAACTACCCTTTTGGGGGTTGGTTGGTTGGTTTAAAACTTACCCTTTTTTGGGGTTGGTTGGGTGGTTTAAAAACTTACCCCTTTTGGGGTTGGTTGGTTTAAAACTACCCTTTTGGGGGTTGGTTTAACTACCTTTTGGGGGTTGTTTTTGATGGGTTGGTTTAAACTACCCTTTTGGGGGTTGGTTTAAACTACCCTTTTGGGGGTTGGTTTAAACTACCCTTTTGGGGGTTGGTTTAAACTACCCTTTTGGGGGTTGGTTTAAACTACCCTTTTGGGGGTTGGTTTAAACTACCCTTTTGGGGGTTGGTTTAAAGGGATATGTAAGGGTTGCCACCCACTATTGGGGTCATGCACATAGGAAGCGGTTGTTGCGCGGTACAACCCACTGGGGGTGACTTGGACCATGGGTGAACGTTTCAATCACCCATTCTTTGTGGCAGCGTTCACTAAGTGCTCGGAAACACGGAGCCAGCATGTCTTGGTGGTTCCCAGGCATGCGGTTCCTCAGGTTGTTAGATGTTTTTAGTTGGTTTAGTGGAAACGACCACGGAACCGGCGTGAACAACTTTTGTGGCAGGGGATTTGAGCACAGCCCAGATTTGAGAGACTTGTTGCCCGTGTATCATGGTTCATGGGTCACACGCGTTTTTGCAACACATGGATCCCCCTCTTTGGGGAAGAGGGGGGAGTCAAGGAGCCGACGGCAAAGTGGGGGTCCCAGTTTTGAGGCACATTCGTACCTGGCACTTGTGTTTTATTGTTGCAGTCAAGGTCGCTCTGAAGTCATTGGTTCCTCTTGGATTTGACCTGAAAGGTGGAATCTCAGCTGACATGTTTGCAAGGAAGGCGGCAAAAGAGTAGTTAGTGAATATTGACTCCAAGCAGGCCCACGCGGACCCCGAGCCGTACTGGCTTTACGTTTGCTGATTCGGCCCAAGCAGGCTGTTTAAGAGTCACTACCCGCACTTTTCTTCCTCTCAGGTCCCCTTTTCAGGTCCTTGGATGAACAACCCGACCCAACTAGCAGCTTGCTTTAAATAGGGTAGGGCTTCATGCTCCCCAAAGTCCGCCCAAGCCCGGCGAGAAAAAGGATCCCCGTCTCGGCGCGGCTCGATCAGAGCCCTAAGCCAACACCAAACCAATCCCTAAACCAACCCTAAACCAACCCCAAACCACCCCTAAGCCAACCCTAAACCAACCAGCCCTATAAGGGTATGTGTCAAAATTTAACCACCAGGGACCGCAGGTTTTTGCATCTTCCAGGGTTCCATGTTGGGGTTGCCCTATTTTTGACCCACAGCCATATCATTCCCGCCTCGCGACTCCCAAATCCCGAATCTCGCAGGGTGCCCACCGGGGATTGGAGTGGGGCTGACCCACCTCATCAACCCACCTCATGAACCAGACCTAGGAGTGAGTGAGCGACCCCCCATCTCCCCCATAAACCAAACCTACTGTGGATGGACGAAATCCTGCACCACGTGGAAGCCATGGAAAACCATTGTTTGTTGGGTTTTCACAAGGAAATCATTCTTCCAGGGTTTCTTAAGTGGTGCGAAATGGATTTCGTCCATCCACAGGGACCTTGCAAACCAAACCGCATGCGGATCGCTCCGTCGATCCGCGCGGCTCCGAGCGGATCGACAGATACGGACGTCGCAGGGTGCCCAGCTGGGCGCTGAGGCGGCCCAGCAGCTGGGCGCTGCGGGCGCCTCTGTTGGACCTGGACGAGCTGCGGGTGAAGCGGTGCCTCGGGGGTGCTGGGCTTGGAGGCGTGCGGGGTTGGGGGTGGTTTGAGGTTGGGGGGGGGGGGGGGTTGGGGTTTGGGGGTTTGGGGACTAGGTGATTGGAAGGGAGGGTGTCCCAATTTGTCGCTTGTAAAGAGGGAGCCGATGAGGGATATTCATTGGAGTTCTGGCTAGAGACATGGTAGTTGAGGTGGATTTGAAGATTTGGAGTTGGCTTCACCTTGATTGTTTGAGGCTGGATTTGCAACATTTGGGTAGGGCCAGCCAAGTTCAGGATTGTTTTGGGGTGGGGAGTGGCGGGTTTCAGGTTCGATTCAATGTCGGTTTGAGGGAGTTTTGCGGGTGGGGATCAGGCGTGGGGCAGGGGGGGCAGGGGTTGCCCTTTTCTACAAGTTCTGGCTTCCATTTGCTTAGGAATAGTTTTGTATTTTCCCCTGTTGGTTCCTGGACATATGAATATTCTTTCCAGGGGACTTAAGCAAATGGATTTCCAACTTCACGAGGATAGAAAGTCCCTGCGAAGCCTTTATCCCCCACTCGCACATAGCGGGGATAAACGTAGATACTTGCAAACCACCTACCATATCAATACTGCGCATTCGCAAAAAGGGACATGGTCAATCAGATTCGCCTGAAGTAGCAAGCCCACATTTGGGGTTGAGCATTGAGAGCTAATGGTCCCCCTGCGAGTGCAGTTGCCTTTTCCCAAGACGACTCTTCAGGTAGCGCTTAGTTGGTGGTTTGGATTGGTGGTTTGGGGATTTGAACCTCTGGTTCTTGTAGAGGGTAAATCCAATCTTGAACCACTAAACCACTGGGCTCCAAACCACCTATTGGAGGGAAGCTGAACTCTTTTTTTAGAAGAGTCGCAAGCAGACAGCCCTGTTTCAGCTAAGATTGGCCTCAATGTCAACTCAAGTTGCTTTTCCCTTTGAAATACAATAACCGGCGGCTTTTCAACTTTGAAGACTACCTTGTGCAAAAAAGTACACCCCCCCCCCACTGCAAAAACAGAAAACACAAAACACAAGACATGTTTACATTTTAGGGTAGGCTAAATATGAAACATATGGCTGCGGCTCAAAACGTAAGGTCCGGATCAAGGGCCAAATCCCACAGACGATCCAGACCCCAAAACGTAGGTGCTCCCGACCGATTCAGCCGTCCGGATCACCGCGGAACGATCCATACCCATTTCTTGAGCCATAGCCATATGTGTATGGGTCAAAATGAAACCATCAGGGGACTGCAGGTTTTAGTCCTTGGTTCCATTTACCAGGGTCCCGTTTTGAGTGCCCCTTTTTGACAGAGCCATTTGCAGAATATGAAACCATCTCCGTGTCCCAAAGTTTTTTCTCACTTCCTGAGGTCCCGGAGTTTAAACACTTTTTGGGTTTCGACCATTTTAACGCCAAGCAAACAGCTTGGTTCCTTCTTTTGGCGAGTCCACCCAAAAAGTGAGGTGTCTTTTTGTGGGGCCTGGGGGCAAGGAATCGGACCGACAGACAGCCACGGCCCGCAGGAAGGTTCGACACGAACTTCGACTGCTGTGGTCCAGGCCGGGGCTCGCGCGCTCGCTCGCAACTTCCACGGGGGCCTGGGACTTGTGCTTTGAGCCGGCAGTCCCAAGCTGGGAATCTGCTGAAAAAAAGAGAAAAAACAACTAGTTGCGTTAGGGCTTAACCCCGGTTGGTTGGTTGGTTGGTTGGTTGGTTGGTTGGTTGGTTGGTTGGTTGGTTGGTTTGTTTGTTTGTTTGTTTGTTTGTTCGTTGGTTGGTTGGTTGGTTGGTTGGTTGGTTGGTTTGTTGGTTTGTTGGTTTGTTGGTTGGTTGGTTTGTTGGTTGGTTGGTTTCTGCCGGTAGTAAAAGACACCTCAACCCGCAAGCTGTCCTGGACCCTCAAACTATCCATACAAATTGGGTATTGCCCGAAACTTGGGGTGGTGTCCCTTGTTTAAGTTTAGTTTGAGGGTCCCGCATGTTTTTTTTTTTGGGGTGGACGAAATATGATACAACATGCGAACATATTAGTTTGGGTGTACCTTATATGTGGGTCAAGCAAACAGCAAGCCGCCTTTGGCGGGGCTTCGTTTTCGACCTCGGAAAGAATTACTGGCTGCCCCCTACAAGCAGAAGTGTTAGCCCCTGACTAATAAAACCCCACCCCCCGATTCCCCCGGAAACAAGAATTCCCCGCCAAAAAGGGGCCCTTATATTTGTTCCTGGGTTTATTAATCAGGGGTCAGTATGAATGGCTTCCGTTGGGAAGTATCCTTCCAGAAGATTGCAGATGTTGAGGGGCAGGGGGGAGGGGTCCAAACAGCGTCTCCCAAAAATCCAGACCCATATGGCCCATATGCATACGGGTGTGCGTGTTTTGTTAGGGACCACCCCCCCCCCCCCCCGAAAAAATACAAAGGAGCAACCACACCGATTTGCCGATTTATGTTGAAGGTTTCGTTTGAACACCACCCTAAGAAAGGGCCCCCTCAAAAAGAAACAAGAACCACTCCTACTATCCCTGCACATTTCACCAAACAAAAGCAAGGAACCACCCATACTAACCCTTGAAAACCACCCCAAAGAAGGGGGCACCCTCCAACAAAACACACGGAACCACCCAATTTTTACCGGCTTGTCGTCTATTTTTTCCGGAGGCACCCGGGTGTCGCCCGTCGCATCCTCAGGCCCGGCGCTGCAGAAGGCCTGGCTGGGCGTGGAGAGCTGCTGCAGCGCCCCGACGTGCAACGACAACCACCAACCCCAACCATCCAAGCAACCAAGCAACCCAGCAAAACCAAGCAAAACCGACCTTAACGAACCCAAACCAACCAAACCCAACCAAAACCAAAACCAAACAAAACTACAATCCAAAACCCCTTGAAACCCCACCATTTGAGCCGCGTCCAAAACCTCGGTGTACGTGGTTAGTAAGAGTCGTGTCATATCGACCTGTGGTTGATTCCCCTCCTGTTTATGCCAAACTCGAAAAAGCAAGCACGGTGCATCCGCCCTTGGATTTCTTTACATGGCTTCAATACATCCGGCCATTTCAATACAATAGGCCCCTGAAAAAGTGATCTATTGGATCTTTTTGTTTTGGGGGAAGTTCCCCTTGAGACCCACCATTTCTCACTCCCTGAGCTACGTTCTGGATTCTGGACTGTAGGCTTTTAGGGTTTGGACCACTCTTGTGGCACAAACAGCAAGGATTTGTTGTTTCGGCTAGTCAACTCAGGAAGTGAAAATCAGAGGGTTCAGTTTGAGGGTGTGACCACCGCATGAACCCAACGTCGACGCCGGAATATATTTCAAGCCTGGTTCTAGAGTTGGTTGGCTGAGGGCCTGAAGAGCATATGCCGAGTTTCAAGTATCCACCTGGAGTCTCCATGGCCCTTTAAAAATCGGGTCATTACCCTAAATAATTGGGTCATGGACTCATTTTTCAAGGGTCATGGAGACTCTAGGCACACTCCAGCGCCTGCTTTGTCTTTCTTTCAAGACGCTGCAAAACATTGACACGCTGGAGACTGCCCAGCTTGATTCTTTGCCTTGGTTTGGATAGGCTCCCTAAATCTGCAAGAAGTTGTGACTAAGAAACCTTTACACCTCACTTCCCCAATGTTTTAGCAGCCAATCATTTGTTTTCGCTTTTCATGACAAGCATCCGCAAATGATAAACCAACCCCCCTCCTCTGTCTGCGGAAGCGAGAAGGTTTGTCTCAAAATAGGACAAGTGGATTTCGGCTTCCCTTTGGTCCAGAATGAAGTCGACCCCAGATTAATAAGCCCGTCCTATGAATACGGATTCAAACATCGGCCAACATTTGTCCCTCGAAGCCAACACACCCCCTCAAACCTCCAAAAACACCCCGACATCATTCCAACAGGACCAACCTTTGCCCCCCTAACCCAACACACCACCCTCTTTGACAAACACTTGCTGGTGCGTAGGGAATGACTTTCCGGGTTTTGGGAATGAACCGTTTGGGGATTCCCGAATGAAGGAAACCAAATCGGGGATGGTTGTTCTCAGGGTCATTCCATGTCTCATTCCCTGCCAATCGAACCAAGAAAAAGAAAGACCCACATGAGCCACAATCAAAACCCGGGTAGAAGAAGGTTAGTAAGGCACAATCCCAACCATAGATAGCTGCGGATCGCCGCCTTCCTTATTCTTCACATGGTTCGGGGGATCGACCATTTTACTACCGGGTTTTGACTACCCCCTACTCCAAATACCCGTTTTTTTCAGGTTTTGTTTTCTGAAAACCTGGGATTCACCTCCTCTTTTTAGTAGAGGGCGACATGATACCCTGGAAAAGAGGGTATTTGGAGTAGGGAGTATGACCCACATGGCGCGCATGCCGAAGCCACCGCGCTTCGCACGTCTCGGGGGACCGAGGCAAGGCGGTGGTGGACCTACACGAGGCGCAGGATACCTCTCAGGCCGGATGGGAAACGGGGGAAGTCGCCTCTTGCTTAGAAATGTCTTCTGAATTCCCTTAAAAAATTGGCTATTGCGCCAAGAGAATGGGTTGATGGTTTCCGTTTTTCTGGGTAGTTTGAGGGTCCAGGTGTTTTTTCAGCCTCCCGAACTGTTTTTTTTGTGGGGAGGGGGGAAACAATATGGTGGATGGTTG